TTGTTTGATTGGATAAATGAAATTTATCTGGTTAGTTAATGGTAGCAATAGCAGCAGTGGAAGTCAAATCTGATCTCTCTATTATTTTTGGAAGATTTGCTCTAGTCACGTCAATTCAGGGTTGCCCATGCAACTTGGTTAGAACAGCTAGCTCTTCAAGTTGGAGATCCAATTCTTAGGATTCTGCAAATTAATTCTAGAAAACTGGCTTTGGTTTGGGCTAAGCAAAAATCATCACACTGTTTGTCATGCTGATTTGGTTGTTTAACAGTTAAAGTCCAGGCTGCATGTTTTTTTGTCCTGCATATGGCAGATGGGACAGTCTGGTTTTCAAGTGTTTATGTGTCAGGACTGGCTTCTGAGTGAAGGTCTTGCCTGCTTTATGTGAGAGCAGGCTCTATGCAAGATTCCAATTGCTACACAGCATGATCTCAGTGCTCTTCCTCTGAAACAATGCTTGGTTGCAATATCATCCAGCAAGTGCAAAAATGTACTACCACGGTCAAGGATCATTTGGCATGTTCATCGACTATGTTAACCCATTGAGTGGCGCCATGCACTGTCCCCTGACAAGTAAAATTGTCTGGTTTTAGACAGAGTAAACTAACAAAGTAGGGCACATCTGGATGCATTGGGCCATTCATTTAATGTATACACCCCCCTATGGACGAGTTCAATAAAATTTGAACCCCTAAGAAAAAAAGATCAAAGTGCTGACACCCCCCCCCAGAAATTAAGAAGTTTTTGCCTTATCCCTCAGAAAAAGTGCAAAAATCAAAGGATGCCGATGCACACAACCCCTCAGAAACGGCTTTTTCAACCCCCTCAGAAATTCTAGTCCATCAGGGGGGGGAAGGGTGTATATTAAATGGATGGCCCATTGCCACTTAAAGGGTTAAAAACGTAAATACCACAGCACAACACTTGTACATATACATATACAAGTAATACAACAGCAATCCTTTTATATATTTAATAGTCATATTTACATATTGGTGAAATATCAATGTCCATATATTAGGGATGTCCATTGTCCATGAACTAGTTGTCCCTAGTTTGAAGCTAATGTATTCATATCTTTTGTATATGTTGTCCCTCTACAAACCAACTTTTAGCCATTATACCACAAGCGGCCCAATCTCGCAAGGGTCAGTATTAAGTATAGACATATATATAGTATAAATGTATATTATAGTAAAAATATGTCATAAAATATAAATTTTAAAATGAAATTGACTTGCCTATTTGATAGTGTGTGTTCTCCTTGTATTCCTGCTTTGTTGGACTAATATTTTCCGAGACTTTGTACTCGATGTTCATGTATACTAGTAACATCAAGTACAAAGTCTCGGAAAATACTAGTCCAACAAAGGAGGAATAAAAGGAGAACACACACTATCAAATAGGCAAGTCAATTTCATTTTAAAATTTAGATTTTATGACATATTTTTACTATACTATACATTAATATAATATACATTTATACTATAAGTCTATACTGACCCGTGCGAGATTGGGCCGCCTGTGATTATCCAAGAGTTGAATTTGCATTCATTTGCTTCGCAATTCGCAACAAACTGAACAAAGTACTATTCCATAAACCTGTGCAATGATCGAGCGTCTTTGACGACATATCCGTGTCTTTTAAACGTCTCATACGAACAAATCTCACTTAGTTTTTTCTACAGAAAGTATTGATCCATTTGATCGATCGCCGTACTTTGAGAGAAGCTTCAGCCTTCAAGTGCAAAATTCACAAAGAAGATTGAAGAATTTCGGAGATAAAAAGTGTTTGTCTTCGAATTTCACCTATTCACCCCCCGGTTGAAAAAAGTAACAATTACGTAATGTTGGAGTCACGTGACCAGCGTTTACCAGGGCTATGCATTGAACCATAGTTCAATGCATAGCCCTGGTAAACGCTGGTCACGTGACTCATATTCATAAATAAACTGGAAGGCTAACTGCTATGATGAAGGCCTATGATTTGATGAAGCCAAAATAGTTTTTCTGAGTTATGAGCAGAAATACTTCACCCCAAACGTCGGGCTATATATCAAATTGAAGCTATTGGAAATTGCTATTTGGTGTGGAAATTTTAAGACTTCAGCGAAAAGAAAAATGGTAATTGCTAGATACATGGGCGTACCGGAAGGAAAAAATTAGGGGGGCGGAAAGAAAATTGCCCGAATTTTCGGGATTCTGCCCGACTAGTACCAAAAAAATTTTTCCGGAAAATTTATTTTGGCGGAACAGGCAAATTAGGACGAATTTCAACAGAAAACCAGTCTCAAGCCTCAAATCATGAGGGAAGTCGTGCGACCACATTAGGATTTATATTATGTGTGCTTCGCTGTCGCCATTGGCATTGTTATAAATAAATTGTCTCACTTATCAGATCGTGTGTGCAATTCTTGTTGGCGGCGGAAAGTACGAAATTTATTTCATTTATTTCATTTGGTAAAGAACTCTACAAAAGAAGAGAGCGTTCCGAGTCCAGATCGTTTCGTTTCAAACGGCAATTTAATACGTATACCGCCTTCTGTTTCGCTCTCTCAGCGAAGCCTTGTAAATCGCAAAGTGTTTCGAATAGGCTTACAGTCCTTACATGCAACTGCATCTCAACATCAACCAAAAGATAATTTTCTTGAGGAAGTGAGAACATATAACGTATCAACTGAAGTCTGTTTGAAATTAATGAAACTCAAGTAAAGGTTACTATAGTTTACCCCAGTCGTAATTTGCTATTCCAACACCTCACGACAAGCAATCCCCATTGGCATAACGGCAAAAACATGTCTTCCTTCAATTAAACAATAAACAGTCTGTTCTTGTTCCATTTGTAATCGAAAAAAGTGATCAATTTTCAAATTTTAAGCTTATCGAGAGCCTTTGTCTATGCCTTTGTGATGAATCACTGTTCAGTTGGGTGTTTGTATTTCGAGTAATGAGTAATGAGTAATGAGTAATGAGTAATGAGTAATGAGTAATGAGTAATGAGTAATGAATTTTCGTTCTTGCTTTGGAAAGATAAACCATGAATACATTGACAGTGATTCCACTCACTTCTTGCCGTGAATAATTATAATGCTGGGATAGTGTCAGCAGTTTAAACTGGTACAAATATGGCCTGCATAATTTCGCTTATAGCATGTCTCATATTAACCAGTTTTGACTGTTTAGCTTTCAAAACGTTTTTTCTCTAAGTTGAATAACATGTTCGCAATAGTAGAATACAAGTAAGCACTAATATAGCGGTCGACAAAAATCCAGAGTGAACAGAAATTTCGTGCTTTTTCTTCGATTTAAAGAGTAATATCTTGGTTTTATAAACTGAAAACTTAGTTTTCGACAACGTTTGGACGTCAATTGCGGATTTTATACTGGCTGCAAGACCGCAGAATCGCAAATAGCAAAACAAATATGTCGGCCGAAAATTTATCATAAAACAACCTTTATACCACAGCACTTGTATTCTACAGTATACTATTGCGAACATGTAATTTTTCAACTTGGGGACGATCGTTTTGAAGGCTGAACTGGTTAATATATATGTGACATGCTAAAAACGAGTATGCCATAAGCGAAATTATGGCCATATTTGATCATACCATGACATCGTCACAGCATTATAATTATTCACGGCAAGGAGTGTGTAGAATCACTGTCAATATTTTCATGGTTTATTTTTCCAAAGCAAGTACGAAAATTCATTACTCATTACTCATTACTCATTACTCATTACTCATTACTCATTACTCATTACTCATTACTCGGAATACAAACACCCTGTTCAGTGCTCCCTTGCGCCTGCACGCTGGCTAGGTTAATTAATTAGAAAATTAAACGAGACTTACTTGGAAGTTGAAGTTTGATTGGAATTCTATCAACCATCTACAAAGCAGAGATTACACGAGATACTACGCATGCGCACAGCTGGTCATATTTTAAAGTGATTAGTGGCCACATGAGAACCTGTGAATGTGCATATACACCATATGCAGGGAGGTGATGGAATAATGGGAGGGCGTGTAATCTCTGCTTTGTAGAAGGTTGATAGAATTCCAATCAAACTTCAACTTCCAGGTAAGTCTCGTTTAATTTTCTAATTCTATCAACATCTACCGCAGAGATTCCACGAGATTTTAAAGCCATGTGGGCACTAAATAAGCAGTATGCATAGCTAATATTTGCATATTACAACACTAATACATATATACTTCAAGCATATAGATGTAATATGAACCAAAACAGTTGCTTTACATTCTTCTGTTGCTAGAATCCTCAAGTTTGAAAATTAACAAAACAGGAACCAAATAGTGCTAAACTTCTAGTGTCTTGTCCTTACGTGGCATCCGATAGTATAGCATTCCCAAAATCTGTATATTCTCGGTGAGATTCAATGTCTTTATTATAGAAGCGATGAAATACACAATCACTTTTCCAACTTGCAGCCTTAAATTTATCGGAACATCACAGCTGGCAGCCTTACTGGTTGATGCTGCTCGTGTACTATGAGGTTTGAATACACTTGTGTCAATCCCTGCAGCTTTCATTACAATCTTTATCTAACGAGAGATAGAGACTTTTGACACTTTCTTGTGCGGTCGAATCGAACTAATGAACAGTTGGGTTTCATTTTTCCGAAGGGGCGCTGTACGCTTAATATATTCCTCAAGAGTTGAAGCTACACACAAGCTGTGGTCAGATGGATATCTTGGGATTACGAGAGAAGGTTGGTCCCGAGTCGGTGCCGACTGTTTCACTAGTTTATCAATGTGAAAAACATAGGAATCATTGTTCTTGCAGAGGGTTGAAAGGTCCATAAGGTGGAGGGTTTGTGATCTCTGCCCCGTAACTAAGGCACAGAGCATAACTAGTTTATGAGTAAGCTGCTGTAAAGTGAGTTCCTCTACTGGATGAAGTGTTTTGAGGTACGATAGTACAATTGAAGTATCCCATGTGTTCCGATATCGGGGTAGTGCAGGTCTAGCCTGAAAAACTCCTTTCATGAATCTTTATATCATTGGGTGTGTACCAACAGATAAGTTTCCCTCCCAGACCACAAATGATGACAATGTACTCCGTGCAGTATTTATGCCACTATAGCTAAACCCCTGGTCAAAAAGTGCCTGTAGGAACTCCAGCACCTCAATCAGAGTTGGATGAAGGGGATCTGCATTCCACTGATTAGCAAATGACTGCCACTTGTTGAGAAAGACTTGGTATTGTTTTTGTGTTCCAGACCGCCAGGAGTTGAGTATTGTTGCTTGAG